AGGACGATTAAGGATGCACAGGTCGTCCAAATAAATAAATATTCAACCCTTCCTTAGCACAACGCCAGCCACCAAAACATTTAAAACAAACACGCAGGAGTTGTTTATGTGCAATAAGATACGAAGCAAAGGTTTAAATAACTCTTTAAGAGTAAGAGTTATAACAATTCTAACGGTAGCTAAGGAGAGAAAGGTGAGAAAAAAATAATCGAGCTGATAATTATGACATTTCTCTCTCACCCAAAATGTCGTAATTCGTAAACAAAGAGGAGTCATGTCCGACGACAAAACAACAAATTAAAGAAGATATGTTTTTTGTTTTCGTTATACAAAATGAAAAGTTTACCTACCATTTGTGGCTTTCTTCTAGACAAAACATTTCATGCCATAATAGAATCCGCCATTATCTTTCGCGACTTTTGATGCATGCGATAAACAAATTAAAGCCTCTGACGGTGGCCTCCAAATTTGGACATAGCAATTATCTGATGCTTGATTTCGAGAATTACCTCAGTAGGGAATGGAGTGTAAGGTGGTTGGGCGGCGCTTAAACTTTAAATCACTTGTCTCGTTGACACAATTTTAGCACAATCATCTCGGTTGGAACTCCTACATGAAACGTAAAAAGGTGGAAAAACCTTTTCAGTAAAACACCCGTTCACACCAGTTTTGACCGGTGGTGTTTTCGCATGAATCGCTCTCGCAAAGAAGTATACTGCGATATAGTTGCCAAACTATGTAACAAACTATGTAACTCTATTGGTATATTTCACAATTTTCTATCATATTTATCAATGTATGTGTTTTCTCTAAGTATGTTATTACAAAATCGGTTTTAATTCAAACATCAGTAATGTTAACTCTGCTACAGTGTAAAGTTTTTGTCAGGTCTGTTGGAGAAAAGAGAAATGACGTTTTATTGCCATTCTCAAGCATTTCACTTTAAGAGTGTTCGGACGAAAAAGTAATAAAGTCATCAAAATAATAATAATAGTAATAATAACAATAAAGTGATGAATAAATGTATACTTATATAGATTTAAAAAGAGCAAGAAAGAAGTGATGAAGGGATGTTGAGAATGATAAGATAGTGAGACAGGCCGAGAAGCATGAAGTCCTAAGAGATTTAGGACTGATTTAGCCAAGCCTAAGAGCGGAGCTCCTGTTAACTACTTCCCTTGTACTTTAAACAATAAACTTTAAGCCATTGCCATGAAAGGACGCAGAGGTTTTTTACTGGAAGTACTGTCTCACAGGAGATCAAAGCTTTGTGGGCAGCGAAGGCGATTAAATTCCATTTAACAGCGCGGGCCACTGACAATTTTGTCAATGATGAAGTCATCGAAATAGCGTCCTGGCACAATTCTCGAGAATTTATACCCGCCCCAAAATTTTGTCCCAGTATTTTTGTCTACGGCTGTTTGGTCCTTGAGTCCCAGTTCCCCTGAAAGAGGACAGGCAAAGCTTCCATTCAAAGCGATCTGAAATGGCGTCGACTCAAATGTGCCGAAGAAATCCGCATTCGAAGTCGAGCTGTGGCACCTAAATTGAGCTCGGGAAGGCTCACATGCTACGAAGCAAAAGGAGATTTGAAGTAGGTAAGATTTTTTTAGCCAAAAAAATGTTGTGGTATTTTCTGATGATCAGGATTAGGCTTAGAGCAGAATTCAGGTACACGGCGGTTTAGTTCAAGTGCACGGTAGTTGAAGTGTGACTCCTAGTATTGCTCTTTACCGCCATTGCTTGTTAAAGAGTAACAGCTTCCGCTATTCTAAAGGTTCTATTTTGCTCTTCTTTTCAGTTGGTGGAAAGTCGTATTATATTCGTTTTAGTCCTTGGTTTTTCGTCTCTATACAAGCAGAAGAAGAATTACAAGTCGGCTGTTTAGAAAGAATGGCGTCCTTTGAATGTGGCGATGAAAGCGTCTTTCCTTTATCACATGCTGTGATAAAGACATGACATCACAATAAGGCCTTAGACTTATTTATTGTGCAGTCATAATTATTTAGAATTAAGATACATACATAAGCTTTCATACATGCATTTTCCTTTAGCAATTTTAGCAATAAAAGCGGGTGGGAAGGCTACACGACTTTTACCTCATGCCAAAATGCTGCTCGTTCCAATAAAGTTTTTTTGTCTCTGCTGGGTAGATTATGCTCTGGAAGGTTCTACATTTTCACTGAGCAAATGTGATTTAAGCTGCATGTTTGACACTGAGAGGTCATGACACACATATCGATTTACTGTGGTTATTGTTTCTGGTCTGCAGGATTTGCCCTTGGATGCAAGCACATTTTCTTTGACCTCTTTTGAAGCGTAAAGCTTTTTATTACGGCTGAATAAAGGTTCCAATTTTCTCCAAAATGCCGTCTGAATCTGAATAACTAAGCGATTTTCTTTAGTCCGTGAGTTTAATGTTTTTCTGAAATGCTGTAATAGGCTGAGCCCAGCTCGTAGTCTTTGTAAAATGTTAAATTATTACGGATAGTGATTAACAGATCCAAAATTATAAGAATGAAGTGCAGCTTAAACTGAAGCTACATCAACTTACCATGGAGAATTGAATTGTGACTCAGTAAACTCCAGCTTAGTGTTATTCTAAAGATAGTGTGGCTTTTGGCTGGAGCGCGTAGTTCCTCCCTTGGTAATAGCTTTTGAATAAGCTTAACAGTCTTTACAATGTTTTGTTATTGCTTTGTGATCAATCATGTGAAATTCCTTTAAAAAACAAAACCTTACTGTAGCGCTTATCTCC